CAAGAACCAGCACAGGGCCAGCCAAGGACCAGCCAAGAACCAGCACAGGGCCAGCCAAGGACCAGCCAAAAGCCACCCAAGAACCAGCCAAGGACCAGCCAAAAGCCACCCAAGAACCAGCCAAGGACCAGCCAAAAGCCCCCCAAGAACCAGCCAAGGACCAGCCAAGGGCCAACCAAGGACCAGCCAAGGGCCAGCCTACAACCAGCCAAGAACCAGCCAAGGGCCAGCCAAGGGCCAGCCAAGGACCAGCCATGGGCCCATCAAGGAAAGTGGGGAAATTTTAAATTGGTACTACTGTAGGAAGATGCTAAAATCAAATAACAGATCTATTTTAAACAACTACTGAACTGAATTGACCAACTTTGTTTTGTTCCCTCCTCAAAATTGATAACTTTGCTTTTATTGTAGCCAAAGTTGATCCGGAGATCTGGTGCTACTGGCGCTGTTGATGTGGGAGATGCTGTGGAAGTGTTGCAGAGACAAGAGTGGAACAGAACGGAGAAATACCCACTGCTTCTCCGTAACTGGATTTTGACGCTTCGCATGTGTGACTCCACTGCCTTGCTTGCCATCATGAATCATTAACATTCCCTGGTTCTGGTTTTAGCCATGCAGAAAACTCTTTGCTTGATAGTCAATTTCACTGAATTTACACTTCCCCACATCGTCCAGATTAAAGGTTAGCGGGCGCATAGGCCCAAGATCCAGCAGAAACATTGTTTTTATTGGTTCCTCCAGTAATAAAATCCTTTTTATGATGTGGAAACAATTTTAAGACCTATGAAAGGCTGATTTAAGACATTTTAATACCAATTTAGCCCTTTGTTTTTATTGGACTGAATATAGGACTGTGGTGGACAACTTTGTTACTTGGAGTGAGCTGAAGCATCTGGAGCTCAACATGACAAAGACTAAGGAGCCAATAGTGGATATGAGGAAGGCAAAAAAAACCTGTGACACCTGTTTCCATCCAGGGGGTCTCTGTAGAGGAGTATAAGTACCTGGGAGTGTAATTTAACAATAAGTTGGACTGGTCTAGAAACACAGAGGCGGTCTACAAAAAGGTCCAAAGCAGAGTCCTGAGGAGGCCGAGGTCTTAACATCTGTTGGAAGATGCTGAGGATGTTTTATGGGTCTGTTGTGGTCAGCACCATCTATTTTTGCTGTCACATGATGAGGCAGTGGGCTGAGGGTCGCTGACAACAACAGACTGAACAAACTGATCAGGAGGGCCGGTGATGTTGTGGGGGAGCAGCTGGACACCCTGACCACCGTGGCAGAGAGGAGGATGCTGTCCAGGTTTCAGTCCATCTTAGACAATGTCTCAGATCCTCTCCATGACACACTGACCCAGCAGAGGAGCTCCTTCAGCAGAACTCTCCTCTATCCCCAGATGCACCACAGATACACATATATATATAGACATATATATATATATATATATATTTTTTACATATATAAAAAATATATATATATATATATATATATATATATATCTAGATAGATAGAATTCTTCTAAAAACAGAAGGAATCCAGTTAAATGAGATAAAAATGAAGACGGACGTTTAAAAATCCGTGTTTTTTGTCAGTTTGTTGCTTAGTTTTTTTCTCATTTAAGAGTTAAAATTTAAGAGTATATACATGGTGTAAACTTGATCCAGGGATAGATCCAGCAACATCTATGTGAGATAGAGAGAGATAGATAGAGATAAAGATAGAGATAGATTTATATTTCTAATGTGTAGGAAGTTTTATTGTATTTCCTTGTATTTATTTGATTTCTTTAGATGATGAATGTTTGTAATATGTTGTTTGTATACCTGAAGCGTGTAATGAAGATAATTTCTCCCTGGGATCATTAAAGTATTTCTGATTAGTTTTATACTGAAGGATTTAAATGCCTTTTCAAACTTTATTAAGGATCCGTGGGAAAAACATTGATCTAATCTACAGGCTCCTCGTGTTTGGCTTCCTCTAGCAGCTCCACTCCAGCCCACCTCTATGCTGCCAGCAGTGATTAGATGCTTGTCCCCATCCTCTCTGCAACAGACACTCTGCCCACTCTTCCACTGAGACGTTGCCATTCAAAGCCATGACAGGCTCTGTACAGCCGTCTCCTCTCCCAGTTAAACATGACAAAGTGCCAACATTCTGCTGTGAGCCTCTACCTTTCAGGGAAAGCCTCAAACATGCAGACAGGGCAGCACTGGGGGATAAAACAACCTGTGTAGCAATGAAGGGACAAAGAATGACACTTCCACAGAGGGCTTCTGTTTCTCTCCACCCAGACAATTACTGCAAGCCAGCAGGCGGATGTCGTGACATCAGAGGGAGTGCTGTGTGCAGGTAGGAGCAGAAGCAGCAAACATTCAGAGATTGTTAGGATGTAAAGCTCTTTAATGACCAGCTCCTCCGTGACTCCAACCACTACAGACTTAAAAGCTAAAAGTTGTAGAGCTGCTTCAAATGGGGAAAAAATAAAAATGTTTAGGGTAAAGTTTATTGATATAAAAGCATGTAACATGCTTGTTATAAAGTTAGTAATCTTAACTGATGGCGTGATGGTTAGTTTTTCCATGCTCAGTCAGCTTACAGCCTTCATTACAGCACATGTCTGATGTACGGAAAATCTGGCAAAAAACGCTGGCATAGGTTGGATAAGTTATGATAACGCTGAAACTCGCTGGCACACGTCGACATACGGGGAGTACTTATGCCAGCATATGTTCATACGTTGGGCATAAGTTACAGGTGTGTTATCTGAGGGTTGTGTGGCGTAAAATGAGCGCTATAATATGCGAGGCTGTCAGTGAGGCTCTGGCGGGGTGCTTTTCCCATCCCTGCATATAGAGATATTTCTCACACACCAACAGTGGGTATTCCCAAGAGATTAAACTTTAGTTCATCAGGCACATACATTTTATACTAGTCGAATAAAAATATTTTAAAATCAGCTTTCTTCCATTCACAGCATTAGGGAGTTTAGGAAACCTGACACACTTATCTCTTATCTTTCCTAGCCTTCGTTTTAACCCAATTAAGCCCGGGAAAAATATGCTTCCTCAGTTCAGTGTCAATTCCTCATAAGTCGTGGCGTCTAGCTGATCCCAAACCTTTGAGTAACTTGTGCATAACTTCTGAGTAACTTATCCAGAACTTCTCTCCAACGCATATCAGCGTATCTGCCGTGTTCTAGACGAGC